GGATCGAAGCATCCTTTCCAATCCACTTGCGGACCCCGATTCGGTTCAAAATGGTGCGCACTTTCCTCGGGTGATGAAGGCTACTAAATACTAAGGACCGAGTCAATTCAATTTCCTCTGGGTTTGGGACTGGGCAACATCGTGACCATCGGCCAATACATCGATGTGCTTCATGGCCGTGCTGATCAATCCATAGATTTGGTCTGAGCGCAAGAACCACAGTCTGTAATAATCATATAACAAAGATTCAGTCATGCTGGCATAGTGACTCTTGCTGACTAGGTGCCACAAGCCGAATGGGTATGTCCCACCCGGCTGAAAAAAATACCCGCACATGCGCATTCTTTGGCTTGCTGTCAGATATCCCAAGAATCGTAGCAGTTGCCCGTTTTTGTTCTCACGAACGCAGTTATCTGCCTAGGCTTTTTGGACTCTTACAGGACTCTAGGTATCACTGAACAACACCAAACTCAACACATCTCAACACGACAAACATACCCAATAGCCACTTAGTAGTAGGCATAACTAGGGGTTTAAGTAGGAATTACATTCAACCCACCGAGCAGTCCAAGGCTCCCAAACCAATAGTTGGTCCGGGCTTCCTGCTCCGGCGTCCTTGCATCGCTGCAATGCGAAATCGATGGAACGTGCTGCACATTCCAGGACCATGGTTGAGTCAGCGGCGACACGTGGGTCTAGGACCTTAGAACCACTCTTTTAGCAACGTTCAGACTTTGATCGTCTAGTAGATGTTAGTCAATGAACCAAAACTGGGATCGTCTCTTAGATGGTAGCCAGGGAACCCAAAGATCTAGGGTCACATTGAAAATCCAGATCCCCTGAATCTTCAACTGGGGTCGCTGAAGATTCATGGTGCTCTTGAGCGGCCGCTGGCCATGATATCTTGGTATTCGCCACTTGGATTGATCCATACCGTCCTGGGCTAGGCCCAATCTAAGCAAGTGCATGCATATAAACTATCGCGCGCAGCAACTGATGACAAACCCTTGCAGTGACTTCATGCGTGGCATGCTGTGACAAGAACATGTCAAGCAGGAAACTCAAAACTTAATTCAACTCATCCCATCGACCCAGTGCATGCACAATGGGGATCCTGGAGTTGTAAGTGGCGTGGCAGTTTGCAAGAACTCTTCAAGATCCCTGTCTCTGGCAACTTCGTCTAGATGAGCCCTGTAAGCCGTTGCGTTTTGAAATTTGTCTGCTGGAGTGATTGCTTTCTTGAACCGGGACTTGAACGCAGCGCACGCATCGCACGTGCCGTGCGTCGAGCGTGGAAGGAATCGCAGAAGGTTATGCCAATGGGAACGGAACGTGTTCCAAAAATACCCGTAGCTGCAGCTGGCTTCTTTGACTTGACACTCCAATTGAAATTTGTGGTACAACATTCGGATTGTGCCGGGTGGCAACCAGTGCGTTGGTAGCTCGGAGAGCTTCGATGCGAAATTCGTCTCGATAGAACTGGTCCAAAATCCAGTCATCCCCAGGATGTGTAGCCGAAGCTCCTGATCTTCCTCTAGGGGCTCCCGTGGAATGACAATGTCTTCCTCCTCTGGCCCCTCCACTGAAGACTCTGAGGACTCAGATTGCTGATCATCGGCCTCGAAGACGACGGTCATCGTCTCCTTCTGAGCATTCCTCTTGCGGCTTCCCC